TGAGGCAAAGAAACAGTGACATTTATATGTAGCTGCTCAGCTGGCACTGAAAGCTCTGCAAAACATTTTACATTTCCTCTCCATCACCTACACACTCTTTGCTAAGAGTGAGAGTTGATTATGCTGGTACAATTTCCTTTGGTACCAGGTACTGCCTTTTCCCCATTTCTTTCTGTTTCTGGATTCTGGTTTGTTTTTTTTTTTTTTAACTTGGTGTTTATTAGAGAACAACATTGTGTGGGCCTACAGCATATAAAAAACTCTTGTGGGTGCCTTTGGTGGAGCTGTACTTTTCCTTACGTGGGAGTCCAGAGATCAATTAATGAAACAATGCCAAATGGGAGGCTGAATCAGAAATATTACTGAGCATGAACACACCTGCATATACAAGTATGTAAAGCTATTATCTACTTTCCTCTAGAGTGGTCAGATGTTGCCTAAACCCATTAAACCTTTATGGCTACATTTTCTTCAGCAATAGAGTAGAAATGCCTCAGACTGTGGATTACACCTTACAGGAGGCTTTTGAAGACACCCTGTTATTTGGATGCTATAGTAATAGAAATTAAGACCTTCACAGTTCACAGACCCTTGCAGTTTTTGATAAATACAACCAATCAGAAAATCAAAGACTGTAATAAACCACAAACTTTTCTACAGGTTGTGCTTTGGAAAACTGAAAATTTTCAACTTCAAACAAGAAACTGTTGTGAGCTGCCAGTGTTGGACAAGAGATCAGCTCTTAGAAGACAACATTTCCAAAACTGGTCTGTATATTGGATGTAGTACCACAGAATGCAACAGTAAGAGGCAAAGAGAGGAGAGGAGCTTACTGGTGGAGCAGTATTTTACCTGAGCCTAACACTGACTACAAGACAGATTCTATACTCTAATAACAGCTATATTTATTCTACTAACAGCATTCAGGAGGAAAATTGGATATTTGGCTCAAATTTTAAGCAGTTGATAATTTCATTAGTATATTAGAGTATCTCTCTATCAATAGCTATACAGCAGTACTTTCACAGAAATGTCTCAGCATAAGAGAATACTGTGACACATTCTTGCACAAACTAGGAATACAGCCACACTCCTATATCATTAGAAATGCAGGTTCAGTACAGTATGGTTCTCTGCATCCTGAGTTTCTTAAAGCAAAAGAAGTGAAAGAGAGTAGCTATTAATACAGACTAATTGCCCCTGTTCTTGTATTCCCACTGCCAATAACAGCAGTTGAACATTAGATGTGAACACAGCAGTCAGCCGGATGTGTCTGAATGTCTGGTCCCTTTTTAAAAAGATACAAAATCTACAGTATCCACACTGACATTATAGACCTGGGTGAGCCATCTACCAACTGTACTAACTTGAAAGTTAGCAGTTTTCACTCCCATGGCTGGTGTTTGCCTTGACGGAATAATGGTTTGATATTTTTTGCTCCCAAGCTGGGGGCTTAGCACCTTGCTAGAACACATTCCTATCTTGCTGTACAGAAGAGGAGATGCAAAACACCTTCTTCTGGCAGCAAATGCACTGTGCTCTGTAAGTGGGGGACAACTAAAGCCTGGAAGCCACCGGTTTAACGCCAGGCATAGACACAATATGTGCCACCAACACGTCTGGGCAGGTCCAGTGTCACAGTCAGGACTGGTATCTGCTCACAACCCTGGAGCAGATGCTGTCACCTACCGGCAGGGGAGACTTTGCAGGAAGTCGTGCAGACTGCCCTGGGCACTGAACTGGTAACTGCATGGTGCAGAGGCTTACAGCTTCTCTGTCAGTGCTTGGACCTTTGGCATCTGAATGTCACATTTCTCAAAAATGTGCCCACTTTTTCAAAGTGGGCTGCTTTTTGGGTTTTTTTTCCATTGGGCCCTGGAATCTCAGGATTTCAGAAAATCATAGAATGGGTTGCATTGGAAATACCTTAAAGATTGCCCAGTTCCAACACCCTGGCATAGGCAGCAACACCTGCCAGGTGCCTCAACGCTTCATCCTATTTTGCCCTGAAATGGGGCATCCATAATATCTCCAGGCAACCTCTTCCAGTGCCTCACCACCCTCATGGTAAAGAATTTCTTCCTCATATCTAAACTAAACTTAATATCACTAAATTTGAAGCCGTTCTCCTTTGTCCTGTCATTGCATGCTGCTGTAAAAAGTCCCTCTCCAGCTTTCCTATAGGGCCCTTTAAGGTACTGGAAAATTCTGTAAGATCTCCCTGGAGACTTCTTTTCTCCAGGCCTAAGAAATGCAACTCTCCCAGCCTGTTTTCACAGAGAAGGTGCCCTGTCCCTCTGATAATTTTTGTGCCTCTGCTGGTCTCATTCCAACAGGCCTGATTCTTTCTTGCACTGGGGGTCTTGTTGCATGAGTCTAATGGTTGTCTGGCAGTTTGCTGCTAGCTAAACTGACCCGTGTTCTTCTGCCCAATAGCTCACAACCATAAATTTGAAGCCTCTGCCAGATCTTGTAGGAAGTCAGCTGGGAAACAACTCTGGGGCATATATTTCAGCCAGGGATTCATGATACACTCCAACTTCTCTCTGTAGGCCACATCACTGGGAGGATTATTCTTCCACCAAGAAAAGTCAAGGAGATCAGGTATATTTTAGACTTCGGAAATAACAAGCTCTTAGGAAACACATAATTTCAGACCATGGATTCATTTGTTAGAGAACTGGGTTTTTAAGAAACTGAGTAGTTTGCAGATGTTTTCACTCATTACTTGTATAAAGCCTGTGCTTTCTAGAAGAGAAGAAATGGTACTCTTTGCAAGCTGTTTCATTATCTGCCTCTTAAAAACACAAATGTCACCACCTATTTGAATGCTTGTCTTTCAGAGGAAGAAAGTTGGAAAAAAAATTCCTGTTTAGAACTGTAGTGCTGGTTTGAACTTTATCTCATACATTATGTTTTTTGGAAAAGTATGGTTTAGATATTTAAAAGATGCTACATGTTAGACTGAATTTTAAGAAATTGAAGAATTTTAGATGTTGGCATTCATGTGGGAAGTTTTGGTATGCAGGAGCAAGATGTCTTCAGATTAATGATGATCAACAGTCACCTTGGTATTAGTTTTTAAATTTGGCCCTTCCTGAGTTATTTTCCACCATTATCTGAACTTCTATCAACAAGACACAGTCCATTTTTAGAGATGCTTCAGGCTGGTCTTACTCCAGGATATGTATTTCAGCTGGCCATAATTTCCATTAGGGCATTATTTCAGTACGTTAACAAAAAAAAAATTGACATTTTCATTTTGTTGTGTCATTCTGTTTACCCCTACGGACTGTTTTTATGCCTGGCCTTATTCTCCTTGAGTACAAGTCAGTCAGAAACCCTCTTGTCATATCATAGTAGCTAAAGAAGAAACTGAAACATGTAGTGAAACACACAGTACACATAAAAAGCTTTACCGGTTCAGTCTTGAAGAAACGTTTGTACTAGATCTACATGTGTGAAGAACAACACAGAAATACTCCCTAAAATTCAGAGTTTGGCCAAAACAGCTCCTTCTCATTTTTGCATGAATTGGCATGATTATCTAATTGCAGCAAAACACAGCACTGTTAGTCATCTTGCTTACACCAGGAGTTAGTGTTTTCTCTTGCTCTGAATAAATCTGATTGGTGTGCTCACCACTCACAGAGGAAGTGGTTTTACAGCCCGAGTGAGGGCTATCAGCACTTTTGTCCAAAATACAAGAGAAGAATAAGGCACCCTGGCAGTTATCCATGAATCTTGTTCTGCAAGTCACACTTGCATAGAAATAAGTGAGGTATTAGAGACTGTAAATTACAGGTAGCAAATGAGACTGACTGAGGCTGATTGGAAACATCTGTTTACATACAGACACCACTTTCTGGCAACGACCAACAAAAGAAGTAATAAGTTGAGTGAGGTTTGGTAGCTGTTTGCCTGCTTGTGGTACTGGATCTCCTTTTGTGCTCAGGTGCTCATGTTCCTACCTTGAATAAATATTCTCTAGTTATAACAAAAAAAGCTGGATAGAAAACAGCACAATATCCATGATTTTCCATATATACTTAGGACAGTATGCAAGCTGCAAAGTCTTTTAGAGAAAGCAGGAAATAGTATGAGTCACTTAGGAATGAGAAATACATGTTGTTTAAACCACCCATAGTCTGGCACAAAACCTGGAGTACAGTTCCTTTTTTAATGTGAATACCACTGAAAATTATAAGCCAAGTCAATTTTGCAGTACTGCTCTGTTTTAATACAGCCATGCAAAGCATAGAAAGAAACCTGCAATCACACAACAGTACTCCAGCCTTCCTCAGATGATTGTCACTTTACCTAGAACCTCTAACAGATTTCTTCTAGAAATATAGAATATTCTCATAAGAATATTGAATTTTTATTTCTCCTTCTAGAGCACTGCCTATTAAATGCTACCTACATTCTGGGTGGGATTTCTTTTTCTCTTTCTATATGAACAATAATTTTTTTCCTAGTACTTTTGCAAAAACCTTTCATTACAGTCAACATGATCAGTCAAATACTGCTGTTATAGGTAACTCAGGGCGGTAAGAAATTAGAACCTTTGTATTTCATCTTCTGACTGAAAATACAACTGCTTTCATGTATCAAATTCCCTCACTTTTACATTTGGAAAGTCCTCAGAAAGGTAACATGCTAGTCTCAGATGAGTGGCTATAGTTTACTGTTTCAGTTTTTCCCCTATCTTTTCCCTAGAAAAGGAAAACTGGAACATCCTCTTTTTTTTTTTTTTTCTTTTTGTTTTCTCTTAATTATAATCTGCTGGTTCTGTATTGAAATGTTCAAACAGAATAATCAATCTGACAGTTGAGAAATGGTATTGCTAAGGTCTATGTGTGAAAGAGAGAGATTTCTTATCTAGTCAAGAGGATATTTTCCAATTACTGCCATGGAAATCAGCATAGATATAAAAGGACCACCTAAGGACTATTACTGTTATTTGATATTAGATTTTGATTTTTTTTCTATCATTCCAGATGGTGGGAGAAACTGTGATTGCTTCAGGGCTGCCAAAAAATTAAAGTGGAAAAGATGTGAGCAATTCCTTGGTGTCAATCTTTGCCCTGCACCTTCTAGTTTCATTACTTCTGCTTGGAAATGTCTGGTAGTGGTCACTTTGATCTGACAAGTTGAAGATTTTGCTCCTGAGTATGAGATTAATTTAGAAGCTTCTTGCATAGAAGTCTACCTTCATCTGTCCTGCTAGCCTGGTTCTTGATGAGGTTCATGCAAACCCTTTCACGAGTATGAGGAAGGAGATTTCCAATATGAGTCTTCTTAGCCAGTAAGTTTCTTATTACACATTATAGGTCTGATAGGAAGAGGAATTTAAGGAGTTTATAAGTATAAAATGAACATTTTCCCTTCTGTCTTTTGAGATGAGAAAATAACTATTACTCAGCCAGGGCACAATGCCTCAGGGAGTGAAAAGTGTTGAGGTCAAAAGCAGTCAGACTGAGAGGAAGAAACTTGGAGCTTCTCCAAGCAGTTTCTAAACTGCAGTTTCTCCTAGACCAGACTTTCAGCTGGCACAACCTAAGGACCCAGGATCTGGAGTCTGCCTAATGTAAGCACAGTTCCTGAGTGGGGCCACCTGGTATTCTAAGGACAGTTTTCCTCTCAGATTCATACTGACATCCTGAGGACCTGCTGGCTTCACACATCACCTGTGAGAGGAAGTTTTCAAAGGCAGTTTTTTGTGGAAAGCTCTTTTAGAACATGATGAGAAACCCATACCATGAAAAGGAGTGTGAGATGAGTTCACATTGCTGCAGAGAAGAGAGACAGACTTTGGCTACAGACCCATTAACGTCACTTTCTTTTTTAATACTGAAAATACTGAGTTGTGCCATGTTCACAGAGGCATAAAAAAACCCTTCTCCACTCACAATGTTGAAAGAAATTTAGTCCTTTTACCCAGGGAGGTTTCAAAGCTTACATCAGAGAAATCCTGTCATGCTTCTCCTGTTTTCCCTTGCAGATTGGTGGTCTGAATTCTGTAACTTCTCTGACAGAAGATTATATAGAAAATAACAGTGAAGACACAAGGATAAGCACATCTCTGTGAAAGAAAAGGTATTAACTGCTTGACCTTTAGTCATGTCATCTGCCATCATTGCCTCATGGCTGATCACAGTAGCTGGATAGACTACAGGCAGTAAAAGTGCTCAGAGGTCTGCATTTCAGACTGCTGTCAACAATACAACCTAGGACAACCATGTGTGAAAATCTCTTGTATGTGTCATTTCCACTTGATAATTCCTGAAAAATAAACATGTTATTTCAAGTGCTCAAATTATGATGAGGACGTAGTGTCTCACCTCCACTTTAAGTAATGTATTCTGAATATAGGAATTGCCGTATATTGGAGTGCCAAGCAAATTATTTATAGTCAAGAGATGCCTTTGCTGATAAGCTTTGAGGCAAAGAACACAAACTGGCACTGGTTTCTGGCTTAGGAGGCCTCATTCCTTCTGGCATTTTGTCAAACTGCCCTCTGAAAAATTCAGCTATGCTTCTCTCACAAGCCAGACTGGCAGCCTCTCTCTCTAATGGGGGCAGGCTCAGCTGGAACCTCCCTGCTCCAGGGACCTTCCCAAGTGTCTGTTCTAAACGTACTGATAGCAAGTCTGTACTCATTTGTTCTTAGGCCAACATCATGTTTTAGCTCAAAAACTTCATCACAGCATTTTGTAATCTGATATTTTCCAAAAGTAATCAAGTGCCTTCAGGCTTTCTTTTAACTGGAAGAAACAATCATCCTCTTTTCATCTTCTTGCAGAAGATCTCTGAGTCTGCCCAAAACCCTGAGTGTAGCACTGGACAGTAGAGGAGGTATTCAGAATTAGTTTGAGACCATGTTGGCTTCAGCCTCTAAATTGAAGTTTCTGAGTCTCATGCTGTGACTTTCAATTTTGTAACTGCCTTTTTTTCCATTTAATTTTTATGTCTAATCTTATATTTCAGTATCCAGAATACCCTAGAGGCTGCAAGTGGCATGAAGAAACAGTTATATCTCCATTTTGAACAAGATGGTTTCTTTCAATGATGTCACAAATCAGTCATTTAGGTCATTTAAAGGGTATTTTCAAAAGGACATTCAATATAAATTTGTGAAAGTGTGACTTAACAAAGTTTGGTGGCAAGGTTCACTCTGTGACCTAGAATATAGATGAAGCATACATAGAAAAATTGAATTATGAAGCATACTTAAATCAATTGGATTAGAATTAGCTTAGAACGGTTCACATCATATATGAGGATGCAAAATGATAAGGATGCCAAAGGACAAGTGAGACACCCCTGTTGAGCCATGAAGCTCAGTGAGGATCCCCTTGCTTTCTAAACTCCTGATGCAGCTGAGCAAAATCTTAGTCCCAGCCCCTTGGTCAATAGTTTTTGTCTAAAAGATTTGGCAGTGCATGATCGTTGACAAATTTAACATTTAGAAAGAGAAGCAACGGGATTTACTACAATTACAACAGTGACTTGATAATAGATTCAGAACAGCAGACTCATACTTCACTTGATAGAGGGTATTTGAATTAATTCAGACACACACAAACACAGACGTGTATATGGATATATACCTAGAAGGCACCTGCTAAGATTGACACCAAATGTGTTTGCATCTCTGTGGGTGAAGGGTTGAGCCTCAAGGAGCTGGGTGCCAGCACAGGCCCTGTTTTCAGTTTTTAATCACTGTTCTGAGTATTCAAACCTGTGAATTGGTGAGCTCTGAGAGACTCTGCCAAGACATTGGTGCAGCCACTGCAGCCTAGGGGAGCTCAAAGGGCCTCACCTGGGACTGTTGTTCATAGGGTTGCAAGTTGCCTGGCTTTAGTCTTCAGTCAGTCTCCATCCTGGCCTCAATCCAGAGCAGTAATTTTCATCAAAATTTCAGTAACAATAATATTATTCCATTTGGGCTATGATTCAGGCGAGTTAAGTTCCAAGGCTTTCAGGGTTATCTCTTGTCCCCTTCCTTGGCTAGGCAAGAGAATTTCCTGCCATGGACCAGGATAAGATGTTTTTGATAAGTTTAAGGGGAGACTCATCATCCAAGAGCAGTTTATCAAGGACAAAGCCTAACTAGACTTCCTGAGATCTCAGAGCAGTCTAGGAGACAGCAGGAATGCACCACATGTGCTAGAAGTCTCTTGTAAAATGGTGAATCTAAAGGAGGTACAGATTAGTGGATCTGAAAGTAGACTGAAAAATTAAACGACACTGCTTCACACTTGGATATGTATTTTGTACTAATTTGTTATTGTATGTATTTGTAATCTGGTATATTGGCTGATAATCCTATTAATATGAATAATCTCTGGTTTTATCCTTTGTACAGTGTGAACATAGAATAAACAGAATGAAAATTAGGAAAAAACAAATAAAATCACTGTAGTATAAATTCCCTGGTATTACAGACCTTTCATTCCTCACTAAGTCTTGTTTTGGAAACCAGTATCTTCTCTCTTACTCAAGCAATTGCAATAAAAATAATAACCCAGAGATACATTGACATCCAGATTTTAAAAATCCTGGCCATTACAGAATTGCATTTTCTTCTCCTGAGAATGGGGGAGGAAGGAAGAATCTCCATTGTTTTGAGTGGGAGGTGCTAGGTTCTGAGTTAAGCACTGTGATGTGAGTTGTGTTCTGTAAAACTGAGAACTCTTTTTTGAGTGAGGATGCCTGGGAGTTGATTCCCTGGCCATGCAAATACATCCACTAAACTATCCCAAAGTCTCTGTGATCCAGGAAATGCCTCTGCTGGAAAGTTTGCCCACTGAGCTGGTCATTCAGACTACTGTAACAAGGGGGCCAAGAGGAGATAAGAAAATTTCACCACAAGCGAGGTGTACCAAGCAGGAAAGCTGCTCTTCTGATACTGTCCTGGAGTGGAGCTTCACTTGGACTTTTCTGTAACGTAGCTCCTACTTAAGTCTTCTGACTGCATTATCAAAAGTCAGGTTCATGTCCGTGGCAAAGGCTGATAGGGAACACCACCATCACCATCACCACAGGCAGTGCCTCAGCCTGTCCAGTTGGCTCTTGTGCTTCTCCGTGGCACAAAGACAGTAAAGAGCTCACACAAGTGTTGACTGGCTCCTTCTGTTAAGGTTGTGCCAGGTTTTTTGCTTTCCTAGGAAAGTTGGAACATAAAATGCCATTAAATGAGTGGAAACTTGAGAATAGGAATGCAGGAGCTGAACCAAGAGTTTTCACATGGAATTTGCTCTGAGGAAACTCACTCTCTTTGACTTGTTTCCTGATTTTGAATATTATTTTAGGACAAAAAACAGTTACTTGGATTTTGTCAGATATTCACAAGGTTTTGCTGCTATATTAACTTTTACCTTCTGTATTTTCTTGTCCCATAGATAAATTTTCCACTCTGTTGTCCAGTCCTACTGTATCGGACCATTAGATCAAGAATTAGAGTTGTTGGGTTTTTTTTAGTTTATTTATTCCAACAGTATTCTGGAGTTTGGCCAGGCATCCAAGAAACAAGTGATAACAGCAGGTAGAAATTTAGATTAAAAACTGAAGTGGTAAATATCAACGATGTCTAATTAGTTATGATCACATTTCTGATTCTATCCTACAGCTCAGATCCTATTCTACACCTATGTGCTCAGAAAAACTCAAAACATATTCAGGAATATGGAATGGGCCACTGTAGTGATCCTGAACAGAAGATAATTGTTCAGAGCTAATGATCCACAAAACAACTATCGTGAGCAGATCCTGGACCTATGCTGCACTGTGCAAAATGGGTGCCTTGGCCTTCAGTCCTAAGTTGGTCTGACATTTGTACTTGGACTTTTTCTGCCCGGAACCCCGCATCTATTATGTCCTCACTGATTTTGGATGCCTGTAGTGAAGGTACAGCATAAATCATAAGATTCTCCTGCTAAGCTGAATAAAAAAATCATGTCCACTCAAAACTTTCCATATATTACTCACTGCAAACTGACTTTCCCCTTCATCCTTTTCTTCCTTAGAATAATGAAATATTTCTGTATTTCCAGAGTCCATAGCCAGATTTACAGTGCTAAGGTCTGAGTGCTCAGGTGATTAAAAAATAAAAATTAGTTAGGCATGGGAAACATAATTTGAGTTCTATTGAAAGCAAAACTCTAATCATAAGCACTGAATTCTTTAAGAACTTGATGATGTGGTACTGTTAGTGAGTAAAAAATCCTATTTTCACTATTTTCCCTTTCCCCTCTGAAGCTGTCCTGGGTCCCTGCTGGCCATGATGCTTCTTGTCTGGCTGAGAGTTTTGAACTTAGAAGACAGCAAAGATTTTTGTGTTCCCAATGTTTAAATCATCTTAGGTCAAGAAAAGGCCTGAAGAAAAAAAACCATGTAATCTTTAAGTGGATGTGCAAAACAAGTTATACAAATGGAAATTAACCTGAGAGCATAAATTCATCTCTGGGGATCCCAGCTTCAAATATCCTTCACTGGGCTCTAAATATCACTGAGATCTTTGTTTCAATTAAGTATAAATTATTCTGATTTTCATGTAACTTGGGCCACTGCTGCACAGAGCTGCCTGAGTTTATGTTGCAGCCCAGGGATTTCCACGTCTGTAGGGCAGTGCCATATGTACAGACCAAAGAGGGATAATGTAACAGTTTGGGTTGTCCCTGACTTATGCACAGGTAAACCATCTGTGGGATGCTTTCCTTAGGACTCTAGGTGCACATGGTGGGTACTGCAGGACTATGGGGAAGTCCAGTGTGTACCTCATTGGGGTTTCATTTTGGGTGAGAATAGCCAATTAATTAAACAGTATGATGTTATTTCATACATATATATACACATACTGCATATTATCATTTCTATGGCTGCTATCCACCCTTCATCACACTGGATGCCTCACCATCTCCACCACTCCAGATTTTCAATCACTGCATTAATGAAGAATGGAGTTTGATGGAACTCAGTGAGCATGGTGGTGATGGAATCAGAATTGTCTACAACGTGCAACGATTGGACACTACACACCATCTTTCCTGCCTGATTGTTACAACAGTCCAGGGTCACGGAGCAAATGAATTCAACAGACTACCATAGGGAAGTTCCATAGACTTGAGGAATGACAGCAGTGGGTATATCTATCAAAAGATAGGAAAGGTGATGGGGTGCTGGGGAGCATGGTACCTGGCATAACAAAAATGGTAGGGGAAACAACATGGACCCTCGCCTGTTTTTTGCTGGGAGAGAGTCAATTTTTTGTCTTACTAGCTGGTACAGTGTATTTTGGATTCAGTAGAAGAATAATGTTGGTAACACACTTTTATTTCAGCTTTTGCTAAGTAGTTCTTGCTCTAAATCAGAGACTTTTCAGTTTCTTATGCTCTGCCACATGAGCAGGTGCACAAGAAGCTGGGAGGGGACTCAGCTGGGACAGCTGATGCAGACAGGACAAAGGGATTTTCCATCACATGGAGTGTCATGTTCTGTGTATAAATTGAGGGAAGCTGGCCAGGTGTCACCTGGCACCAACCAGCAGGTGGTGTGCAATTGTATTGGGCATCACTTGTTTTTCCTCAGTTGTATTACTTTTGCTCTCTCCTATTAATTACTGTTGCTGCTTTTGTTGTTTTTCTTGTTGTTTTTGCTGCTACTATTAATATTATTGTTGTTGTTATCTTTGCTTCAATTATTAAAATTCAATTAATAATTATTCAATTATTAAATTGTTCTTATCTCAGCCCACAAGTTTTGCCTCTCTCTTCCAATTCTTAATCTCATCCCACTGTGGGGAGGGGTGTGAGTAAACACCTGGCTTGGTACTGAGCTGCCAGCTGGGGTTAACCCATTGCAGCAGGTTGACACAGGTCACACCTGCTTAACTGAAATTATCTCAGAAAGATCAGCGTGGGCATGCTGCAGATGTGGTGCTAGTTCATCAGTGAACCTAGCGTAGGCAGACAGAGCCAGAAGCTTGCAGAAAAAGCACTTGGAAAATGGGTTCCTTTGATTGTAATAAAGGCACAATGAAACAGAACATTCAGAGTATTCTGAAATATTTTAAGTAGGTTTAGATAAATTATATGCATATTCATTCCTCCAGAATTAGTAAGAAAATTTGCAGTGTAAACTCTGACTTCTAGAAATATTCAGGAAAAAGAAATCAACCCAGGAAATAAGAATATCTGGGGGAAAAAAAGTCTTTTTCCTGTTACTCCAGGAATGTAACAATTAGTACTAGTAATCCATAAAAATGCATATAAAAGCATACACTCAGTCATTATTGGAGTATAAACATTTATGTCTAGAACATGCCATATTATTTAAAACACTCAGTTAAAACCATCCAGAGAGCTTTGAGTGCTAAATAAGGTCCCTTTCAGCCAGTGTAGAGGATAAATTCCTCACCACTGGTATCTGGGTGACAGGATATATGGCATGAGCAGTTGCATGGAATTCCTCAACAATTTTTTCAACAGCAACACAAAAAATAAGTTAAATAACTTACTCTTCTTCAGATCTCATCTCCATGCCCCAGTTCCACAAAATGCATAATCATAGTTTAAATCCAACTCACATACTAAGACTCAGCTTTAATCTGTGCAAAAGCTATCCTAGAAAACACAGACCAAAAATTTGTGCTGAAGTTGTTCTGAGCAGAAGCAGGTGCTGAGTCAGTGGTAGTGATTCTATTGTCACCCTTGTTTCTCCTGCCTCTTACTGCCCTCACAATGCTGTGTGTGGTTCATAGCCTGCAAGGTTTAGAGGACAGCTCTTTTGAAAACACTCTGTGACCAAGGCTTTCAGATGCTAGGTGAAAATGCTATTCATGCAAGTAATTAGCCTTGTGCTTCCTGAAGCCTTCTCTCTCAGCTGGCCCCTGGGGGGAGCAGAGGGGCATGAATATGAAATAGTTGATAGAAGCATTGAGTCAACTGTAATAACATGACTAATTTTACCTGGAATATCATTTCTTTCACAGCTTTTATGCATTTCAGAGAATTTGGCCTCTAGTGGGTTTGGGAATATTTTATTCTCAATTTCCTAATACTATTCTGGATCTCATCCAGATAGGGAAATATCTTTCTTCCGTAAAGACATGGGCACATGCATTTGCACCTATATTGCTTGTTTTACAGTCAATTTGACTGGCTGCATGATATGACATAGGAAAAATTATGAAAATTACATAATCTAAGTAAGATAACCTATGTAGAAATCCAGCATCAACACTGCTTTTCATTGGAGAGACATAGCAAACCAGACTCAGTTATTGTCTGTAGAGAATATTTTATATTTTAGCAAAGGCCTGTCTGCACAAACCAGCCCTTAGTATAAGTCTAAAGACATTAGCCTTTAATAAGTGATATTAAAGGCTAATGTCCT